AAAAAAAAAACCGCAAAAAAAAAAAAAAAAATTAAAACCCGCAAAAATGTTTCATATAAAAAAAAAAAAAAAAAAGGCAGAGAACAGCTTTGCTACCCAAAACTTTCATTCCCTGATTTCTCGGGGATTTCCTCCTTTTTTTTTTTTTTTTTATATGTAAAGATTTTAGATTTTCCTCTCTTCTATTAATAGTCTTTCATTTTCTTCTTTTATTGCTATTACTATGTTCATCATCATCACCACCACCACTCTGCTTCAGGTTTTTCTTTTGATTTTTTTTTTTCCTTTTCCCCCCCTCTCGCTGCTTTTGCGTCTAGCCCCTCTCTCTGTCTCTCTGTCTGTCTCTCTCTCTGCTTGCTTGCTGCTGCTGCCGCCGCCGCTCGCCTCGCCTCCCGTCCCGGCTCCGCTCCCGATCCCGGTCCCGGTCCCAAGCTCCCCGGCTCCTCTCGCTCTCTCTCTGCCGGCAGTTTCTGAGCCGGCAGCGCTCGGCTTTGCTGTTTTTGCGCAGCCCTCGGCTCCTGCCAACCAATCGGCCGCCAGCAACGCCCCCGGGGGCGGCACCCTATTGGCCGGGGAGCACGTCAAGCAGGCTACGTCACGGGCAGGCAGGCAGGCCACCATCCATCCCTCCATCCCTCCATCATTCCATCCATCCCTCCATCTCTCCATCTCTCCATCCCACCATCCCTCCCTCCATCCATCCCTCCATCTGTCCATCCATCCCACCATCCATCCTTCCATCATTCCATCCATCCCTCCATCTCTCCATCCCACCATCCCTCCCTCCAGCCCTCCCTCCATGTGTCCTACCATCCCTCCATCCATCCATCCATCCCACTCCTGCATCCCTGCCTGCATCCCTCCATCCATCCATCCATCCATCCGTCCACGCCTGGTGGCTTTATCCCTGCGTCCCTACCTGTATCCCTGCCAGCCCCGGAGGATGCCCGTTCCGCCCACCCCCCCCCCCGCGGTGGAAATGAGTGTGTGTGTGTGTGTGTGTGTGTGTTAAAACCCTCAACAAGCCCTTCTCTCCAGAGAGGGAGTTTCCACCCCGCTGCTGACTTTCCCTACCCGAGGCCGGGCGCTGGAACGTTTTGGTGTTGTTTTTTTTTTCAGGGAAAAAAAAAACCAACAAACCAAACCCAAACTAACCACAAAACCCAGCACAACCACACAATAAACCATAAACAAGGGGAAACTTGAGATGATTTTTTCCTTCCCCCGCCCCCGCCCTCATGGGCTGCCTTAGCTAATTAGTTTGTTTGGTGGTGGAGAAAGTGCAACTTTCCATCAATACGCCTGTTACAGTGTTTCCACCTCCAGCCAATTTAAAGTATTTTATTATTTATTTCTTTTTTTCCCCCCTTCCCGATTTACACTTTGGAATTTCCACGAACGTAACCGGAGACTTGGCGGGGGGTGGGTGGCGAGAGGGACAACGGGCACGTAGGCTGTCGCTGGCCGTTTGGAAGGGCACGGCCGGGGGTAGGGGGAACGGGCAGGGGCTCACGGCCCCCGATTTGCTGGTTTTCCAAGCGAAAGGCTGCGGTAGCGGGTGCCGGCGCTCGCTGCGCTCCCCTTCCCACGCCGGTAACGGCGCTGGAGCCTCAGAGCCCGCTCGGTTGCACGGAGCCGGCGATCGCAGCCGCCGCCGAGGCTGGGGCTGGCGACTTCTCGCCGATTTCAGTAGCCCACGAGTGGGGCATCCCTCTGGCTCACGCCGCAACAGCAGGTTTCCCATCCCTTTCCCCCCAGACAGCGCTGTGCCCAACGGAGCCCGTTGCAGCAATAGTGTCTGTAGCGCTTGGAGCGCCGGGCCGAGGCGGCCGGTCGATGCCGGTGGCGGCGGAGCTCCGCCGGGGCTGGGGAGGGGGCTGAGCCTCGGGGCTGAATTTTGGGAGGGGTGTTCGCAGATCTAACCCCCGGCCGTGACAGCCTGCCGTCCGCGGGCTCTTTACGGCTGAGGGTCCAACTCCGCAACTTTACAACGTGAAGAAAGTAAGAGTAAAAAGGATTCAGTATTTGTATTTTTTTTTTTTTTGCAGAGTGTTATTTTATTTTTTTCTGAAGAGCACCACAGAGCAGGTACGAGCAGCTTCTGCTCTGGCCCCATCTCTAATCCGTCAGTTTCAATAAACTCCACGCTCAGATGCGTTTTCTGACTTCGCTTTTCCCAACTTGTGCCTTTATCGAGAAAAAAAAAAACCAACCCTTCGCCTTTGTGCGCCCTCCTGCCCTCCCTCCCCGGGGAGGGGGTCCCGGGGCCACCGGGCTCCCTGCCGCCGTTCAGTTGAGGCCAAAACCCAATCTCAGCGTCACGCCGGGCCCCGCTGCCGGTTCGTCAGAGACCCCCAAGCTCCTGCCGAGCGGGATGCGGTGCACCCGGTTGCGGGAGCCGCACACCCGCCCTCCCCCCGGGCCCCCTCCGCGCGGCGGACTCGGCGCCCAGCACTGCCGGTCCCTCCGCCCGGGGTTACCGGTTCCCCCCACGCCCGTGGCTCC